AAAATTTTTTAATATGCAATTAAATATTTTTAAAAATCTACTTCTTATTTTAATTCGCAATTCAATACTTTTGTTTTGTACAACTTGATAAAAATCTGACAGTAATATTTAATGTTCCTTCAAACATAAAAGCGTCCTATATAAAATTTTGATAAAATTGCGGCCCGCCATTTGACTGTTGCTTTTAATTGCGGCCCCCGGCCTCATGTAATTTGGAAACCCCTGGTCTAGAAAATTATTCGGTATTTGATAATCGGTGATTGATATTCCAAAAACCAAGAAAAAAAACTTGTTTTCGTAAAAATGTTACATACCTCCTTTTAACATTGATCGCTTCAATTTTATGTCAAGGTTTTCTTCCCCCCCCCCTTCCGCCGCGGAATGGTGTCGTTTTCACTCATGCAAAATTCAGATCGATCAGAATGACAGAGAAAAAAGAATTAAATTTTTTTTCAGCTTTTATACCAGCAGTTTGGAAATTCATTCTACGGAATTGGAATATTTACATAAAAATGCTTGTTTTAATGCTTGTTAATTTTTTGAAAACGATTATCTTTCAACTGACTGCAAACGCTTTTGCCATGAAAAATATTCCAAAACATTTGCTGCTGAAAGCGAGGTCGTCTTGGTGGAATGCAAGGCCCCGGGCCACAGAAATGTCTTGGGCCCCCAATATAGCATGTCATACTGTTTAAAATTGAGCTACAAATAATTCATATTCATTAAATTAATCACTTATATGATCCGTAAAATTTAAAAAAAAAATCGTGATGATAATCATCTTCTTTTTAGCATTGGTGAAGCTTTTTTTTAGAGACATGAGCTAACTGAAAACTTTTTAACATTAATTTATTCTAACAGAGATATTTTTCAGCGATGTAAACATTTAAAACTGACCTATTTAAAATACAGTTCTTTTCCAAATTATTAGACGCACTATAAGATTTTATGTAAAATCTGAATTATCATGTGATACTATACAGCTTTATTGTTTTTATGTGCCTAAAACCGGTTTGTACTTGTTTACGTTCGTGTATCAATAGGTTAAATTAGACAATATATAATATAAATTTGACGATAGGATAAATTAGACGATATATTATATAAATATAGAATATTTATTATATCAGGTATTATATTATAATAATTAGACCAAATTATTAGACGTCCTGTAGTGTTTTAATAATGACATGTTTTGTACGAATTTGTATGCAATACTTTTATATTTAAACATACATGTAATGGGTTTTTATTCAGGATATTTTTTGTATACTTCCTATTTGTATTTATTTTTAACGCATTGCATTACAATGTTAACTAATTGATACACGAACACAAACAAATGTAAACCGCTTTCATCCGAGAAAAAACAATACAGCTGAATAAGTATCACGTGACAATTATAATTTTACATAGAATCTTATAGTGAGTCTAATAATATAGCTAGTGACTGTATATTTAAAGTAAGGCAGATTTACTTTAGCAATTAAACTTAAAAGTAAAAAAATATATATAAATACAAAAATATTATTTTGTCAAATTAAAAGTATTTATACGAAAAAAATGTTATTAAATAAAAGATTTAAATAGAAAAAAACGTTTGGTTTATATAAACTGTTTAAACCACATTGGTTTAAATCATCCAACTCTGCATTAAACAAATGTACTTAAAATCATGTACTGAACTCACGTTTGCAAGAAAGGAAGTTCGAATCCAACCGGCTGAAGACTCCCCGTGTGGTAAATGGTGACTGGTGCACGTTACATCAGTCGGGTCACAAAGTCCTCCACAGTCCCATAATAAATCAATACCTCTGGGGGTACTGCATTGGAGATTGATCGTTCTCCGGTTCATGTCAAAATTACGATCTGTGGATGAATGAATGGAAGCCTGAATGGATCTGTCTTAAAAACGGGTGTGACGTATGGGTGTGGCAAAAGTCGAATTCTAGGCTATAGATGGCGCCACTTTAGAACAAGAACAATCGTTCCCGCTCAACCTACAACAACAACTAAATATCATGAGACATGAAATAATTTTCTTTCGCTTCAATGCTTACGTAATTTAATGGCGCTTTACTTATAAAATATAATTAATATATTATAAAATGATTACACTTTCATTAGAATATATTTATCCAGTCGAATATATTTCATTCATTAAATTTATTCCATAGAATATTTTTTCATAGAAAAAATTTTATTATTTGCAACGGTGAACAGAATGATAAAAAAATATGATATAACCAAAAATTTTAATTAAATTTTTTTAAATGTTGGTGATTTTACATAATCCGTAGAGGTTAGTAAAAAAAGTACGTATTTTCTTATACATTTGGATAGAACTAGAGCTATTCCTTCCTCATGAAAAAGTGTATTATTTTAACAAGAGATATCGATATTAATTTTTATGTAATCTAATATCCGCAGTTATTAGATACAGATGTTATTCAAAATTCATTTTCAAGTTGATTTTTTTTACAACTTAAACAATTTAATACCAGATAAAAATTAAAACAATAATTTTAACTTTCAAAACTGTTGGATTAGAATTTCGATCACAGTGCTGATGTAAAATATACTCAGAGGTAGATGGATCATGGATTAATTAGCTTTACTTTTTTTTCTCTTAATTGTTTGAATATTGTAAAACAAACGTGACAAAGAGATTCACCAACTTTTACTAGAGTCTCCTTATCGTCAGGTTAACAGTGGGAGATTTTCGTGGCTTTCCGTTACCTGTAACATAAATGTGGATTAGTTCCATCAAAAAGTCCTCCACGAAGGCAAATTTCTCCTAATACTTACCCAGGAGTTGCCTTGTTTCCTGGATTAGGTTCAAAATTACAACGATACGGAGTTGAATATTAGTAGACGCAAACCTAAAAAATTGGCTCGGTTGTTCAACGAGGGTTATAAAATTGCAATGAATATTTTTTTTGTGTGAGATTATCTGCTGCATCTCATAATGTAGGTAGGTAGGTACATTTATTTACGATGTGCTAGACCTACACAAAGGGCTATTGGCGCTGGTCCGGGCAACACTCCTGAAGAAAATCCGGAGACAATGTCCACACGTCACACACCATTTTACCGGGAAGACACATTCACACACCATCCATCCATCCGCACCTGAACTACAGCACGATCAATCTCCGATCTAATACTCTCTGAGGTAGGGGAGAGTGGGGTCAATTGTAACATTTTTTACTTAACTATTTTTAACTAACGAAAAATCCAATATATTATTAGTATTAATTGACAGACGAGTAAAGTAGACTATCCTCTACAAAAAAAAAAAAATACCTTATTTTAAATGTTATTATATTAGTTATTAACAATTTTTGACAGTCGTGCACTTGTTACAATTGTCCCCACTTACGGGGTCAATTGTAACAGTTCATAAATTCAACTAAAACATAGTTAATTATACATATTATCATAGTTGTGATATATTTTTTTATTGATCAAAATAGTAGTGATATTTTAGGAGTAAAAATAATAATGAGCAGAGACCTAAAGGGTTAAACTTTTAACTTTAAGGGGTTAAAAATTTTAATTTATGCTGTGAAAGGTGACAAATAAAATAATGCACATGCAACATAATATAAATGATATAGGAAACTATTGGTGGTTCTTAAAGAGTTAAGTAATGGTTTGTAAACATAAGATTATTTATTTTCAGCTGTTACAATCGTCCCTTTACTTATTGTTACAATTGTCCCCAAGACGCCATTTCAGCTTCATTTGTTAAAAACAATGCTAGTTAATTAACAAAACTAATTTTTTTTTTATTGAAATGTTAATTAAGGTGTCCACTTACATATTCGGTTAATAATTTTTATTTGTTTAAACAAAATTACTTTGTTACAATATAATATTCTAATACCAAAAAAAGTACTTACGTGGCGTGAAAATATCTTTTGTGATGTAACTCTTTCAAAAGTACATAAAAATGGTTGCCAGCAGGGGTGTACATGTAGATTTATTAAATACACCTTGTGCGCCACCTAGGAACCAAATCTAGAACCCGACACTCGAAATTTTTGTTCTGTTACAATCGTACCCTGTTACAATTGTCCCCACTCTCCCCTACTGATTTATTATGAAGTCTGTGAGGACTTCGTGACCCCGCAGATTTAGCTTGCACCCTCCAGCATTTTGTACTGTGGAAGCCTTCGGCCGGAGGGGTTCAAACTCACCTATAGGACATGGCCGCACAATTTAGTTTAACGAAAACGATTAGCAGTTGTAGAATTATGAACTTTTTCAGCTACGCATTCGAAAGTCTGACATTAAACAATATGTATTACTTATTGTCAAAATTTCTAATTTAGTTTGGGATTAGTTAAATTGTAAAGTTTCTTTTCCTAAAAGACGAATATCAATCCGAATTCCAATTATCGAAAAAGTCTACATAGAAGGGAAATAAAACAACATTGATGTAAAAATCCAATCTTCATATTACGGCGCTTAGCTGTTGGACAATATTCCTTGAGATGCATCCTTGGTCGAGAGGTCTTGCCGCTCCAAAGAACGCTCTGTAGCACGAAGGCAGCAGGTTCGAATCCCACCTTAACCCTGCATGTCCTTCTCTCACTTGTGCTATCTGTTCTTCTGCTATATAAGGGCTTATTAGCTGTACTTTGCAATGAGTGCATAATCCTGCAAAAGTATGCTGTTGTTGTTGTTGTTTATTTACGTCGCACTGGAGCTGCACAATGGGCTATTGGCGACGGTCTGGGAAGCATCTCGGAGGATGATCCGAAGACATCCCATCACAATTTTGATCCTCTGCGGAGGGGATGGCACCCCGCTTCGGTAGTCCGACGGCCTGCGCGCGAAGTCGAGCACTTTACGGTAGCACAGTTTAACGAGGACCAATACCGCACACCCTCGGTCCCTACGCAGGCTGATTTAAGTGGTCACCCACCCGCACACTGACCGCTGCCAGTGATGCTTGACTTCGGTGATCTGCTGGGAACCGTGTCTTAACGATCAGTCCACTGCGGGACACCGCTCGGCTAGAGAAGCCTTGTTATGATTGCGTTTCCTGAGCGCTAAACCGTGCTGAAATTTGTCTGACGAAGTTCAATAAATAAAAATCAATGTACATACATAACAATCTTATGTTCATCAGTAAATAATTTCACTATTTAATGGGTGTAAATAATCTCCTTCCGAGCTATAAAAGTTGGGTACGTATTTTTTTTATTGTGTCTCAATCGAAGATTTATAAATGTATTTCATAATAAAATATAATACTAAAAGGTCGTTTAACCTCGTTGTAGGCAAATAAACTAACATCTGACGTTTGCCTAATGTGTTTGTAAACTTATTTGAAAGCAAAATATACTTTAAATATGAATTAATGTAACAAATTTAGAATATTTCTTACCTTTTGTTACACTTCACTTAAAGTGCTTCGGCCTTTTTTTTTCTCCAAGTACCAAGTTTACATCCAACTGATCTTAAACATTGCTTTTAGAGAAGTACATCAAGAGCAAACAGTATTTCTTGCAGATTAAAAAGCATTAAACTAATAAGCAGATAAAAAAGTACTAAAGTACTAAACTAGTGAAAAAGTAGTAAACTAATATTGTTACGTACATGAAAATCGTGGTATTTCCCACCATAAAAACGCTTTTATGGTCACTATAAAATGTGGCTTATCATTATATTGCCCTAAACCCTTTATTTTTAATTTAGTATTTCGTATCGATTCACTTTGAAGCAAAAGAATGTTTGCAAATTTAAAATTTTTGCAGTCATTTTCGATAATGTTGTATATTCTAAAAGGTCAACGATTTCTCCAGCATTTATTTAAAATTTAAAGCTGGTGATATGCTATGAAATAAATATTTTGATGGGACACAATTAAAACTTTCAGAGAATTGTACTAATTGAGACGATGTAAAATTGGCGTATCTCAACTTTTATTTGAATCCAGATTAACTGCAATCACCTATAAATGCCTATACACGGATGAACAAATATTCAGAATAGGCAAATTTTGAAAAAAAAAATTATAGAAAAAGTATTATGCAATAATGTTATAAATGCTAATAATTTGATTGGCACAAAAGAAAAATAGAACGAACAAATATTTTAATATTTTATTCAGATTTAAAATTATTCTTTTAGTAGTATAATACAATTTAAAAAAATTCTCCTGTTTTGTGACAAATCATAAAAAAAAACTTGGTTTTATTTTTGATTTACTTTCGATGAATTTTTTTTTTGTACCTCTTGAACAATTTTTACTCTGTTTCATTTTAAATCCAGAGCTTGAGTTTTTGTTTGGGGGGGGGGGCACAATCAAATCCCAGTTAGGTTGAATTATAAAAGTGGATAAGTTTCCTCTACCAAAAATCTAGTTCATTGTATATTTGCTGCAAAAATTTGGAGAAAGTAAGATTTTGTTAAAAAGAACTTTAAAAAAATTAGAACGGTTGGAAACTTCGAGACTCATTTAGATGGAAAGTTAGTCAATTCTTGCAACAATCGAACAATTTTGCATTCGTTGAGACTCTTAGAAAAGTACTCCTCTCTTACGTTCGTTTTGCACTACAAACTCTTTCCTCCAATAAAGATATCGTGGTTTTCCTCTCCATGTAACGCAAATGAGGATTAGTTCCTTCAAAAAGTCCCCCCCCCGAAGGCAAATTTCTACCAATACTTGATCCAGGAGTTCCCTTGTCTTCTGAATTGGGTTCCAAATTACAAGGCTACAGATTTGAACTTCGAAAAATGCAAGACTTTGCTCGAGAATAAAGTGCCCTCCCCCATTGTGGTATTGGGGGGAATGAGACGGCTGAGAACCTTGACAATAAGGGACTTTTGGCTCCCCTTATACCTTCTGGGATTCCATTCACATAAATTTGAAATTGCTGTTATTTCAAAGTATGTGAAGCGACGTTACATCTTTCAAAAGGAAGATCATGGAATGTATAGTTTGTCTATAGAAATAACTCCCCACGTCACAAATTATAATGCCCTCAGTTGCTATGGAAACACGAAACTGCTAATTTTAAAGAAGGGGGCTTCTTTCTCCCTAGATTCCTTTTTTCTCGCTGACCGGAGCCAAAAATTGTTAAATATTGATACACTTGAAATAGTTATGCTACTGTAAATAACTGAAATTGATGGTTTTTGTCTTCCACCAGTGAATGTTGACAGTCACATAGTCGCTTTGGTGAATGTCCGAAATATTAGGGGGACCGGAAAGCAATGCAGTTTCTGCGCATTTGATATTTTTTATCGATATTATTTACCTTTCAATGCCGGATCGAAAATGAATCGAAAAAAATTTATTACTTTTTAAGACTAGCGAATATTTAATGCGACGAAACTACATTACTTTCCGGTCCTCCAAATATATACTAGTTCTAGTTAAGTGTAATTGCCAGATATACATTTGCCCGGTATGCCCTACATCTTGTTTTAAGGTTCAGTGCCACTGCCCAGTCTGCATTTCAACCTGTATTTCTGTTCGATGCACTGATGTTTCATCTAATCTATTTTCAGCAGATATTAGAATATCGAATAAATATAATAATATCGACGAATAAATTAATATCAAATCGTATATAACAAATATTTCGGACATTCACCAAAGCGACTATGTGATTGTTGACATTCACCGGTGAAAGTCGACATTCTCTTGGTTTCGGCCATTCAAGGTAACAGTTAAACCTCATAACCATAGTTAAGGTCACTGCTCAAGTAGAACAGCAAGGGGAGTTCATTTCATAGACAGACTATACTCTTCTTTAAACATCAGCTTATCCCTGACTCCTCTTGTGCTGCAGCAGTTGCAACTTTTAGATTCCTGGCAGGACATGATTGTCTTTGTCATTAAACATTGTTGGCTCTTTTATATGTTTTCTTTGCATGTTTGGCCTGGATAAGACTGCTTTGCGTTTGGGCGAGTGTCCTGTACTATCTCCATTCTCTAGTCATATGGAGAAGTATTGGAGAGCTCGTAGTCTAATGGCCTAGAGGCGAAACGACTGCCATTAGATAATAATGTATACAAAGCGTTTTTTTTTTCTTCTATCAAATTTAATATAAGTAGCAAATTTTTGCTAGATTAACGTTTTTTTAATGTTTAATAATTTTTTAAAATATGTACAGCCCCTGGCGAAATTATTAGCCGCACTATAAGATTTTATGTAAAATCTTAATTATCAGGTGATACTATACAGCTTTACTGTTTTTATGTGCCTGAAACCGGTTTGTACTTGTTTACGTTCGTGTATCAATAGGTTAAATTAGACGATATATAATATAAATTAGACGATAGGATAAATTAGACGTTATATTATATAAATATAGAATATTTATTATATCAGGTATTATACTAGTATATTATAATAATTAGACCAAATTATTAGACGTCCTGTAATGTTTTAATAATGACATGTTTTGTACGAATTTGTATGCAATAGTTTTATATTTAAACATACATGTAATGGATTTTTATTTAGGAGATTTTTTATATACTTATATACTTCCTATTTGTATTTATTTTTAACGTATTGCATTACAATGTTAAGCAATTGATACACGGACGTAAGCAAGTGCAAACCGGTTTCAGATGCGTAAAAACAATAAAGCTGTGTAGTATCACCTGATAGTTAAGATTTTTCATAGAATCTTATAGTGTGTCGAATAATTTGGCCAGAGACTCTATACCACTTGTCTGCCTTAAAATTGAAATTTTTTTCCGTAAGAAAAGTGAAAGCAGTTCAAAGTCAAAGTGTTTTTAGTTTAAAGTCACTTGAATTTTGGATATTTTGCAGGGCTCGAAAAAACTCAGAAATTTTACCCGTCCCCGAGGACGGCTTGTCCAACAATGCACCCGTCCTCCGTTGAAACTAACCCGTCGCTTTTAAGTAAATAAAAATATAATTTTCTCCTATTTGTTACAAACATTTATATAAATTGCACAATGATTTAGTCGTTACTAGGATTACATTATACAGTAATAAAAGAAATACTAGGTTACTAATAGTAACCTAGTATTTCTTTTATGAAATAATTTAAATGACAAGGGTCAAGTTATCTGGAATGTCAAGTTATCCGAGGGTACTGCGTTTTTTAAATGAATCAAATATGACGTTTGCCAGTT